TGATACGTCTAAAATATAAAGCGCCTCCTGAAAAGAGGCGCTTTTTTTATGGTTTCTCTAGCTTATTTGGTAAAGCGTCGGTCTGTGGAACCGAAGAACAGGGTTCGATCCCCGGAGATACCCAAAATGTGAATGGTCAATGGTGAACTTTGTTTCACAAGTGAATTTAAAATTGACAAGCAAAGCAAATTACCACTTGACCATTCACAAATAAAAAAACAATCTCATAGCTCAATTGGTTGGAGCATCGACCTGATACGTCGAAGGTTGAAGGTTCGAGTCCTTCTGGGATTACAAAAATGTGAAAAGTGAATTTTAAAATTTACAATTTACACTTGACCATTCACAATATAAAAAACAATCTCATAGCTCAAATGGTTAGAGCACCGGTCTTTTAAACCGGGGGTTGAAAGTTCAAATCTTTCTGGGATTACAACGCAACGGTCTCGTAACTCAACTGAATAGAGTATGGGTTTTCTAAACCCAAAGTTACAGGTTTGAAATACGAAGTATTCGTGAATACCATAAAAATAAAATATGAAATTCATGAACAATCCTGTCGAGATCACAAAGGAGGTCTATTGAGGTAATGGCTAACCTGCCTGACTGTCGCTCAGGCACTGCGAGTTCGATTCTCGCATAGACAGCAAAGATTCACGGAAACTTCCGGATCCGACTGTCTCTCGGAAAAGAAAATTGAAGTGAATCTGCAAAACTGGAAAGATAACGGTGGTTGTTTACCCGTCTTGGACGCGGGAGGTCGCAAGTTCGAATCTTGCTTTCCAGACCATAAAAGTGAATAATCAATAGTAAATTTTGTTTCACAAGGGAGTTTAAAAATTGACCAGCGAAGCGAATTGACTATTCACAATTCAAACTAAGTTAATTGTTTCAAAAGAGAAAAAGAAAAGGTTTGTCGGGAGCAGAAGATCTTTACGCCAAAAACACGATATAATATAGACAAACTTTTTCTTAACTCATGATGAGAAGTCAGAAATTAGAGATTAGAAGTTAGTTTAAATTACTCATTACTAATTGCTGATTACTCATAAAAACGATGGTTCGCCGAAGTGGAAGAGTCGGGGCGGTCTGCAAAACCGTTGCGTAAGCTGAGTGGGTTTGACTCCCATAACCATCTCAAATAACTAAAATGAGATTAGTTCCGAAGAAAAAAAGTTTGTCGAGCGAAGAAGTTCTTATATCAAACTAAAAATTAAAGACAGGCTTTGTTTTTCTTCACAAAAAAGTTAGATGCTGGAAATTAGAGATATAGTATGATCCAAAAACTATCAACTAACAACCAATAACAAAAAAGGAAGTACGCCGGAGTTGGAGAGCCGGGGCAGACTGTAAATCTGTTGCTTCATTGCTGAGTAGGTTCGAATCCTACTACTTCCACCAACACCACTGATAATGTAATGGCAGCATGCAGGAAATGTACTCTTGTTGTTCAGGTTCGACTCCTGGTCAGATGGTTAAAAAAGTGAATAGTGAAATAAGTCAATTATCAATTTAAAATTTAAAGATTGACTGCAAAGCCAATTGACAATTCAGAATTCACAAAAACAACGCTCTATTCGTCTAACGGTTCAGGACGCCTGCCTTTCGAGCAGAAAACAAGGGTTCGATTCCCTTATAGAGTACAGATTAAAAAGGGAAAGAGGAGGTTTTGTCAAGCGCAGACGATCTTTACAAAAACATTACAGGCATAGTTTAT